TCCTGCCTTCTTTGTCCTTCCTCCCTCCCTCCCTCCCTCCCTTCCTTCCTTCCTTCCTTTTCTTCCTTCCCTCCTTCCTTCTTCATATACATATGTTATGGTGGTTGCATTGTATCTTCAAAGTGCTGCACTAATTTTTCAAACTAAAACCAGAGACCTAAAAGGGTAAAGGATTGTCTAAAGCATCACTGTTTAAGTAAGTAATCAGGTACCCACAGGGAACATAAATGCCTAAATTCTTTTTAAAATTATAACATTCCTATGTCAAATTAATACTGAACATACTAACTGCCCATGCTAATATGACCCTCTGTCTTGGTGCTCTGACTTGGGCATGGTATGACCATGGTTGTATGAAGTCCTCAGCACCTCAAGTCATAAGCAATGGAAGATTTAAGTTAGAAGCCTGTTGGTCACAGCTTCATGATCACAAGGTCATTGTTCCTACTTTAGTCATTCTGGAGCTCACAACCCTGGTTTCCTTGCTACCGGTTCGGTGGGACAGGAGAGGCAGTGCGTGCCTCTCTCTTGTTCCCATTTGGAAAGGGGACCTGGTCAAAATGCTTTCCTGCCACTTTGGGGGTATTTAGGAGCTGTCCCAGAAGCAGTATAAACAGAGTGGCCTACAACACCTGCACTGAGCCATGATATTCTCATCCTGAGCCAGAATAAAGGATCACCTGGCTATCTGAACAGGCCAATGAAAGGGTTTTCTTTTTAGATTGAAAGACAGCAATAATTACAGCCACATAAATACATAATTAAAAAGGGGAAAAAAAAAGGAAAAGGAAGAGGAAGAGGAAGAGAAAGAGAGAAAGAGAAAAAGAGAAAGAAAAAGAGAAAAAGAAAAAAGAAAAAAGAAAAAAAGAAAAAAGAAATGGTTTTCACTTAGATCATCCTAAGTTTCATTTCAGACGGCAAACAAATGCTTTGTTTCCATTTGGCTTGTTGACTTCTTTAGTGCTATTTCCATGTTTGATCACAGATGACTGTTGAAAACAAATGTTTTTAATTTAGAAATTCTAGTTAAAAATGTTGGGAAGGTCTGTCCCAGAATTTCTAAACTAGGCCACGTCCTTTTGAAAACACTGAAATGAAATACTCTGTTGAGTTCAAAATATCATCCCCTCCTTTAGGCAGAGGCTAAGCCTATTGATCAGATTTGACCCTATTTTGCTTCAGATTTTTTGAAACACGATTTTCCAGAGGCCTTTGTAACTCTCCTGGGATGCCCTTCTCTGCATTTCAAGCCCCTTTCTTCCCTTAAAGCTGCCACCCAAGTTCTGAGATGCCAAGAGATGTTGTAACGTGAGCATAACATCTCTATGCCCCTGGCAGAAGCATCAAAGCAATTTAAGCAGGGCCAATGAACACAATTCCTGCTACCAAAGCGATGAGCACAGAAGAGGGCATATGGCAGGCGGTCTGGAAAGTGCCTGTTTTTCTTCTGACCAGCATACAGGTATTGAGGTATTCAGTGAAGAAAACCCTTCTGGCTTCACTCTCGAGCATGAATGGGATAATGGGCAGCCAGAAGGCCAGCAAGCAGAGGGAAAAACTGTCACAGAAGGACATGGATGATCAAAATCAGACAGTAATTCCAAGAGTAGCAGAGGTGATGTTCTGAAGTGCAATGTTCTGGAAAGAGCCCTTCTGTCTGCCTGATGGGAATTGTCTGTCTGGGTGTCCCCATGTCCCTATTACTGTATCTAAGTGACAATGGAAAACATAGAAAATAGGGAAATTAGAAAATAGCTCAAGAGAGGAAGCCAAGATATTTGGCATTTGTTACCAGTACCCTTTCCATAAAGAAAATGCTTGAGTGTACGAATGATATCAGAAAAGATGCATCCCCTTGCAGGAGTAGAGCTCTTCTGATGGAAACAAAGGGACCATCTCATCTCCAGACTGAACAAATCTGCACAGATCAAGGCACAGACAATTTTTGCATGTCCTCGTGCAAACATTGAGTCTTTGAGGAATTAGATCTCATGGACAAGAAACACTGGCAGAAAGTGGGTGAGTGGAGCAAATAAATAAATAAACAAATAAAATTTGAGAGTGAAACTTCTGTGAGACTTTCACCATGGTAAAGCCAAACTTGCATCAGTGTTAAGTGCAAAGACCCTCTGGCTCTTTTCTACACTGATGTAAAGTGTGCAGCAAGTCCAGTTGCCATGACCTCCTTAAAACGAGGACTGTGATTGCTGTTGAATTGCTTTTAGCACAGAGATGAATGCCGAGAGCCTGCTAAGGTTGGCCACTCACAACGAGATTCTTTAACTGTGCTTATTGGGAGATTTCTAATGTCTGGGGCTGGAGACATGGGGAATTCCCTACTGCTGTGGGACTGTCTGCTCCAGGGAAACTTGCGGAAGCATGGAAGCGATCACATCAGTAACAAGCTCTAGAGACTTTTTGACTTCACCTCCCAATTTCTCATATTAGTAAACATTCTCCTCAGTCCCTTCCTAGATGCCAGACACACGGTGATGTGCACGTGCAAGAGGGAGCTAAGTAAAACACACAAGAGTATTGGTATCTAGAGGATCTCGGTGCAATAACAATCTTCTCCAGTGGAGCCTTAAGGTAATTTCTAGTT